ACACAAAATTAATAAAATGTACAAAGAATAATGTGTGGCAAATGGTAGATCCTGGCTTGTCTTTTTGGCCAAGTAGCCACTCCACATACAATTAGCCAGATCCTCACAAAGCAATAAACAGTCCCCATCACTAGGACCCCAGTCTAGGGCTGCTGACTCTCAGTCTGCGAGCACTGAGCTGTGCCTGACTGGGTTGACACAAAAGGGGTCACCAGTTTTCCTTAGCTACTGTCTGCATTCTTGGCATTTAACCCTATTTCTCCAAACTGAACTCCCAATTTCTCTTTCAGAAGCTCCTCAGACTCTCCCACACCACAGGAAGGGATACAATAGGAGAGGACAGGAGAGACATGGCAGCTAGGAGTCAACAAAAGACTCATAGAAGGCGGCATTTCCATTGAGCCTCCAAGACTGGCCCAGGGGAAGCCGTGTGAAGTGAACCGGTACAGAGTGTAGAAAGGTGAGGCACAGGGTCCACAACCTGTCCCAGGGAGCACAGATTCTGGGGTGAAGCTCCTCTCCTTAAGCAGAAGAGCTCCAAGCATCAGTCCTTCCCCACCCTGTGTCTCCTGGGATCTGGATGGAAGACAGGAGCTAAGAGAGGGCAAGGCACAGGAATGACAGAGCCCCAAGATGGCAAGGTGTAGTAGTATATTCACCAGTATTTGGAGCTTTATTCACTAACCATACCAATCATACAGGTGGCAAAACAACTGTAAACTGAGGGGGAAACTAAGACTAGAACTCTGACTTGCTCCAAGCAGGCCTGCTGGACAGAAGTAAAGGCAGCACACATTCAGGACCACGCAGAGCAGGGCGTGGTATCAGTGGAGTCAAAGGTACGCACAGAAAAACAGAACAAAACTCAAGACCATTTCCTTCCAGGAGGATACAGGCTCTCCACTCCTGTTCAGGCTAGCCTATCAGCAGGAGTCCCGTAGCTGGGGGATTGCATGTCTGTTTCCTTGAGGCCAGAGGCCAGGTCATCTCTCTTCATGCCTTCTACCATCTGCAGTGCCCAGATGGGCCTCTCCTTTACTTTTGTTGTTTTTTTCTGTTGTTACTGTTTGTTTTTTGAGACAAGGTTTCACTCTGTGTAGCTTTGGCAAGCCTGGAACTTTGTATGAAGACATAGCTAGCCTGAAAAGAGCCTGCCTAACCCTGCTCAGATTAAAAGTGTGCACTACCACGCTTTGCCACTTGTTCCTTCCTAAGAACTGCTTTTGGTGAGGAGGGAAGGGCATTCTGACCAATGAAGGCCTTTCTCAGCCTGGTCTCTTCCTGAGAGAGCCTCTCAAAAGACTATTTTCAGCTTTTCCCCACTTATTCCAGCCTTCATCTATTGAAACAGCCTTACCTGGCTCAGTCCCCTGCTCAAAACCCTCCTAAACCCTATCTACTGCTCATAGAGGAGGCCAAAATCCAGGGTAGGCCAGGCGAATTCCTGTATCTCAAGCCACCTTCACTCATTCCTCTTATCCTGCACAAGTCCTGGGCCTGGCAGTCAGCCCGTATTACCTGCCTCCTGCTTTGCCTTCATTTGTTCCCCTCAGCTCTGTGAGATGGCATGAGAAGGGGGCTGAACAGAGTCTGTCTCACTCAACTGCTTCCTTACAGGGTGTGGTGGTTTGAATAGGAATGGCCCCATAGCCTCATCTGTTTGAATGCTTGACCCATAAGGAGTGGGATTCCTAGGAAGTGTGGCCTTGGTGGAGAAGATGTGTCACTGTGGGGGTGGGCTTTGAAGTCTTAGAAGCTCAAGTTGTTTTCTGCCTGCTGTCTGAGGATCAAGATATAGAACTCCTAGCTCCTTCTCCAGTACAATGTCTCCTGTCAGGACTATAATGGATTAAACCTCTGAACTGTAAGTCACCTCTAATTAAATGTTTTTCTTCATCAGAGTTGCCATGGTCACGGTGTCTCTTCACAGTAATAAAGCCCTAAGACATAGGTTAAGGAAGACGCTAATAGAAGGGGGTAAGGAGGGGCAGAAAGTATGGCTAAGGACTGGGGGCCACTTGAAGAGTTCCCATAGGTATTACCCACAGCTGAGACAATCTCAACAATTCTGAATCACATAGTAGGAATCCAATCACTTTCTGTACCCTGCTGGCAGGTATTTAGTTGCCATGACAAAAATATGTATTTAGGGACTGGAGAGATGCCTTAACAGTTAAGGACTGTTCTTCCAGAGGACCCAAGTTCAATTCCTAGCACACACATGGCAGCTCATAACTATCTGTAACCCCAGTTCCAGGGGTGTCTGGCATCCTCACATAGATAAACATTCAGGCACCAATGCACACAAAAAAAATAATAAATCTTTTTTTAAAAAGTATGTATTTAGGGCTAGAGAGATGACTCGGTAGTTAAAGGGACATACCGTTCTTGAAGTCATTCATATGTACCTGTAACTCCAGCATCAGAAAATCTGACACCCTCTTCTGGCTTCTGTAGGCACCTGCATATATATGGTAGTATACCCTTCTGGCCCTTGACATAGACATACTTTTTAAAAATTTTAAAACAAAAACAAAACAAACTGGGTGGTGGTGGTGGTGAATTCCTTTAATTCCAGCACTTGGGAGGAAGAGGCAGGCTGATCTCTGTGAGCTGAGGCCAGCTTGGTCTTCAGAGTTAGTTCCAGGACAGCCAGGGCTACACAGAGAAACCCTGCTTCGAAAAACCAACATGCGAACAAACATGTGTATGTATTTATCAGGGTGTCTACACATATAATCCCAGTGCTGGGGAAGCAGAGGCAGAGGAAGAAAGAAGTGAGTGTATCTGCCAGGTATGGTAGCACCTGCCTATAATAACAGCACTTGGGAGGCCAAGGCAGGAAAATCATGAGTTTTTAGACCTATATCTGGACTAAAATAGAAAGAACTACCTCAAAAACAAAACCCAACCCCACCAAGACAACAAAACTGCCCCAAAACCAAGGCTGGTTGGGTGCCTTTCCAGCATGCACCCCATAAAATCAATCACGGTGCACACCTGAAATCACATTATTCAAAGGAAGAGACAGGGATCAGAGTAAAGGTCATCTTAGGCTATGTAGTGCATCTGAGGTCAACCTGGGTTACACGAAACTTTGCCTCAAAAAAACTAAAAACCTTTTAAACTGGAGGGGGACTTGAGGAAATAAGCTCCAGCTCCGCAAACCTGCTGCCTACATGGGCGTGGGGCGGGGGTGGACAGCAAGAAGGCTACAGACTGGCAGTCTTTGGCAGTTACCAACAGGTGATTCCAGGGTCAGTAAGAGCTGGTTTCTACTACTCACTTCCCTGTAATGAGGCTCTAGAAAGCAAGGCACATGTCTGGGGCACGAAGATGCTGCATGCAGCTGCCGTTATGAATGGCTCTTATAACAGCGAGATGACATCTGTGCTTGGTTTTTAAGATGCATCATCATATGTTTATTAAACTGTTGCTCCATCATATTTATTTGGCTACAAAACAACTCCTAGCTCATACTTCCAAAAGTGGTTTATTAAAAACTAAACCTTGAACATTAATACTCAAAAGCACCCTTGAGAATCAATAATAACGCTGCAGATAAAATGAAGGAGAATCAAAGCAGTAAGTCTTGGTGGAGCCGTGGCTGCCTTCCTACACTTCTTACATGTTCAAGCATCTGGAGTGGGGAAGGGCACCCCAGGTCTATGGTAAAGACCCCAAACACTGACTTCCAATCTAAAATGTGAACACGATACCAAACATGATTACCCACACCTGTAATCCCAGCACTCAGGAGGCTGAAGAAAGAGGATTAAAAGTTCAAAGCTAACCTGGGTTACATAACAAAATCTATTCTCAAAAAAAACAAGCAAACAAAGCGCCATGGGGTTGGAGAAATGTTCCAAGGTTAAGAGCACTAGCTGCTCTTACAAAGGACCTGGGTGCGATTTTCAGCACGCACATGTCACCTCAGCCTGTAACTCAGACCCAATGCCCTTTTCCTACCTCTGAGAGCACAGAAGCCACGTGATGCAAAAAAACAAAAACAAAAACAAAACATGTGGGCTGAGAGCCCATGCATATGAAATGAAATAAAACTGGCTGGTCATGGTGGCACATGCCTTTAATCCCAGTACTCAGAGGCCTCAGAGGCAGGAGAATCTCTGTAAGTGCAAGACCAGCCACAGTGAGTTCCAGGACGGCCAGGACTACATAGAAACTCTATCTCAATCAATCAACCAATTAATTAACCAATAATCAATCTATCTATTTTTTAAAAACCTAACAAACAAACAATAAAACAAAACCAAGGATGAGAGCAACTGCCAAGTGCAATGTGCGAGACCTGTTCAGATCCAATGTCAAAACCAAAAAATAAGCGAGGTAAGAAAAAGGAGGGTCCCATGGCCACTTAGATATATTTGAGGGCAGAAAGGCCAAGGTGAGGCCCAAGAGGAATGAATGCTGCTTCTCAACAACAGCCCCTAACTGATGCTCTGGCCAGGCCCCAGACTCAGCATCCATCTTAGATGCACAATCTGCCCTGTCCACAGTACAAGCTCAATGCTTCCCTGCTCAAGAAGAGTCAGCCTCTGTGCAAAAATAAGCTTCACTTCCCTCTGAAGCCCAAGAGCACAGGTGAACCACTGAAGCTGAAGACCTAGAGGCTGCCTCAGGCCTGCATGTAGGCCTTCTTAGTCACGTAGGATCTTTTGGCACAAAGAGCGCTTAGGAGCTTCCCAAGGATGCCCACTGACACCAGGTCCAGGCATCAAACATTAATACATGGTCACAGAGGAACAAGAACAAACTGGAAGATTCATAGGCTCCACAGACTTGAAGCCACTGCAACTGAACACTGGGGTGTTTGGGAACCTGTCTCTAAACCTAAAATACATAGTCTGACTTGAACCAAGGGAGCCTCTGTCTGTGGCTACAGGCAACTCTTAGGAAACAAGTCCAGGGCAGGGAGAGATTTCCTCTGGGGCAAGGTGGCCATACTGCTCAGCCCTTCTATAGGAAGCCCAGACACTTACCTTCTGACTTCCTGCACGTTATTGGCCCGGGCAGCTTCCATTAGAGCTGCATCTGAAAAGAGAGGGGTACTGGTCAGACTCCAGCCCAGGACCAATCCCTCAGAGCTGAGAGAAGGCCTAGGACGTCAGTCAAAGTTTCTCCAGAAAGCGAACGGCTGACAGGAGAAGGCTAACCAAATCTCCTCCCCACCTGGAATCCATCCCACCCCTGCTCTGGGAATGCAGGTCGATGTAATGCCCCCACTCTTCTCAAGCAGTAAGGCTCAGGTATGTGGGTCTCCCTAAGAATGGAACCTCAATCAGAAGTCATGGACACTTGGGATCCAAGCCAGTCTATTACTCAGTGTGGCTGATGCAGCCCTTCCTTCTCAAAAAAAACTTGTGATATTTGGCAGACAACAATCCTTGCCAGCCTCACAAGGATACTGAGGAGATACAATACCAGCTGAAAAGTCTCCAAAATCCTTAGTGCAAGCTCAGAAAAGGGAGACTCTATTCCATTGGATCCCTGAGGACTCAGGCCTAGCTGAACCCTGGACTGGTTGCTGGCACCACCTTGTGGCCACTTCAACAGCAGATGACAACTGGTGCTCTGTACCCAGTCTGATTCTGAGCTGTACTGTTGGCCACTAGGCTGACTTCTACTCAGGCCTACAGTCAGTAGCCATGAGACTCCCTAGGTAAACACAAGAGACATCACTAGTGTCAGTGGCAAGCTGAGCCCCAATCTAGTCCTGGCACTAAGGCTTACTTGTCCTGTGTCCTGGCCAACTCATCTAAGCTCCTGAGCCTCAGCTTATGTGAAGACAGACAAGACACCAGCCTCATCATTTGCATAAATCAGGTCTGTTCAGACCACAGAGCCTCCACTCACCTTCTAGTTTCTGACTAGGAGCCAGGTCTGTCTTTGGTTTTATTATTATCATTATTATTATTGGTGGTGGCTGTTTGTGTGTATACTTGTTTGGTTTTTTTGAGATAAGATCTCATTTTATATGTCCTAGAAATCAGAGATCCACCTGCCTCTGCCTCCTGGGATTAAAGGCCACACCTAGCTCTTCTTTTTTTTTTTGGTTTTTCGAGACAGGGTTTCTCTGTGTAGCCCTGGCTGTCCTGGAATTCACTCTGTAGACCAGGCTAGCCTCGAACTCTCAGAAACCCGCCTGCCTCTGGCTCCTAAGTGCTAGGATTAAAGGCGTGTGCCACCACAGCCTGGCCACACTTAGCTCATTCATATATTTAACTGGGCCCAGATAATCAGCTGAAAAAGGAAAATCATTCCTTATAGATACCTCATCATTCTACTCTCATTCTCCGGAAGTCACAGAGGAAGAATGAGCTGAGATTTAACCTGAGGCACTCTGGGCTCACAAACTTTCCATGGTTTTCCCCTACCAGAATTCCCCTTGGTTCCTAATGAGACCCATTTCTCACAACACTGCCCTGAGGGACTCTGCTCAAAACTTTAGGCAAGTCAGCAGGACTGGAACCAGTCATAGTTTTAAGCCATCACCTCTTGTATTAAGTAGACATCACTGAAATTTACATGCCATAAAGTCCAGTCTAGGGCTCCCAGTAACCTCTCAGGCCAGACTTCAGACACATTTATCCTGTTCTTCCAAACACATTGGCTGCTAGACAGTCTGTTCTCATGATCCTTCCATGGCTCGTCACTGCCTACAGAATTCCAAACGCTCCTGACTGGCATGCAGGCCCATTTCATCCTCTCTCACCTTCTTCCAAAGACCTTGTCTTCCACCCTCACTGGCCAAACTGATAGCCCATCCACATTAGGCTGAAGTCTGGGTATGGAATCCAATCCAAGGCACATTTGTAAATATCGCCCTTCTATGATCCACACACTGGTGGGCAGATGCTTGTTGTTAGGGAAATACTAGTAAAATAAAGGGAAGACAGAGGCCCTACCCTCATGGGTTACACAAAGCCACTTTCCACCCCTTTGTTTCCTATGCTATCCCTCAGAAATTAAGCTCAAGTTCCCCATCTTCCAAGTATTTCCCGTCCTCCAGGAAGGCTAGCCTGGCTCCACTACTCTCTGATCCTCTGTAAAACTCAACAGCCCTGCATAACGAACTGCCGGTACCCTCCCCTTAACTGGCTAAATTTTAAGATGAGACTTTCTGAACACCTAGCTCCAAGCTAAACATACACAGTGTCACCTTCATGTACACACAAGAGGAACTCATACCATTCCTGCCTGCTTAAGCTAGGAAGGCCCTACTTCAATGCCCTCATTAATAGAAAGGAAATAGAGGGCAGCAAAGAAGAATAAGAGTCCAGATTCACCAAGACCGTACAAAACAAGATCCTCGATCCTCAGTGTCCTTGTTCTTCATCCAAAAGCCCTTTCTTTCCAAGTAGCCACATCTTATTAAACAAACAAGTTAAAGTCAAGGCAATCTCCAATCTTGTTCAACAATCTCAGAGTCTGGGGTGCATGAAACGCACCAGCACTGACAACTGAGAACATGAGAGGTTGGACTTAGCCAGGCTACCCTCCAGCTCCTGCTCAACTCGAAGCAACTGAGGTAAGATGCCAATTTGGGGTTAGCTACCTTCACCTCCTATCCCTCCCCCATCACTGTAAGTCTTCAGAGAGCAACTTTCGGCCAACTCCCTGCCCCCTCCCCCCCAAGGCTTCATTCACCCCCACCACAGTATCCAGCTCACCTTAAACATGACACTAAGCATAGCAAAACTCTAAGCAACTAAACAGACTCTGAACTCCAGGAACGGTCAAAATATCAGAGTACTGAGTGAGAACTTGCCTTCACTAGACAGTGGGGAAACTAAGTCTAGAGAGGAGCATGGGGTCAAGCTAGCACCAAAACCACGTGTCCTCCTTCCTTGAACCTATGTTCGCAGGAAAACATGTAGAGGCTGTCCCTAAAGCTGTTGGGGCTTCCTGGAGACCTCTTGAAAGACTAACGGACAAGATATAATGCTGGTACATAAAAGGACCAGGCTGTAATTAAGTCAGTCCAATGTCCCCAATTATACAGGTATACAAACGGATCCCAAAGAGGGTGCTAGATCTATGATGGGAAATTATGTAACTTCAAGCAGTGACTTTTCCTGAGCAACGTGCTGCCTCTGGCAGCAGATGATAAATGGGTTTCTTCAAGGTAAGGTTATGCAGGTCTAAATTTATAAATACCTTCAACCTTCCAAAGGAGTCATGACCCACCCATATACATACCCACACACCTCTCCCTTGAACCCAGTTTGGCCCCATAATCACCCTTGTTAGATGGATTCTTGTTGTAGCACTGAACCACCAGAGCCACGGCCAAGGCCCACATGCCCAGACCCGCCTTGTTGGGGACCCCATTCCAGCTGTCTTGTCCAGGGAGGGTTTCTTCGGGGCTAGGACCGCGTCCCGACGAGGCGGCAGTCAGGTATGGGATCTCGGTGTGTTCTCCACGGCGCCCCCCGGTGGCTGCCCCCCGTCCGGGGAACAAGGTAGAAGATGCTCCAGGGCGCACCCAGGCGGCAGCTCTCAGCCGCTGCGGCTCCCCGCGGTCTCCGGTGATTACGCTACGGCCGAAAGCACCTCCCCGGCTTTGGAGAGATGGAAATTTGATTAACCCTAGGAAGAGCCGAGGCGCTGGCGCGGTTCTCCTCAACACCGCGGACAACATTATGACACCTGCTTCTAAAACCCTCTGGTGCCGGCCCCTGTGCTAGCCACGATCAACATGGCTGCCGCGGCGCGTTCGAAGACGCCGCTTATGGGGTGGGACTGCGCACTACCTCACGGGAGTGGTAGTCCACGGCCCCAGATCTTTCTCTAGCTGGAGAATGAACAAACTACATTTCCCTGAGGGCTGTGGGATGACATCACAATGACCGCCTTCAGCGGAGCTGGAAGAATGTTGGGAAATGCAGTTCGGGCGGAGGGGCGTGGCAAAAGGAAAACTCTGATGGGGCGTGGCAATTAGGATTCAAGATTCCAGAGCCCAGTATTTGCATTACACGGAATTTTAATCCCTGCCTTTGGAAGGTGAGAACCTGAGAGAATGGGAATTCAAGGTCTAGGTCAAAATCTCGTTCTTAGCTGGGCAGTGGTGGCGCACGCCTTTAATCCCAGCACTTGGGAGGCAGAGGCAGGTGGATTTCTGAGTTCAAGGCCAGCCTGGTCTACAGCGTCAGCGTGAGTTCCAGGACAGCCAGGGCTACACAGAGAAACCCTGTCTCAAAAAACAAAAAAACAAAACAAAACAAAATCAGATATCAAAATCAAAATATCGAAATCAAATACAGGAATCAAAGAACAATTTCCCTAGTGTTTAAATAAAATTTAAACACTATTTTCGACGAAGACCTGTTAAGTAACTTGTACCCGTCCCCACTTTTTATTTCGAGTTCCTATTGCTTTTCAAAAAGATGCCTAGGGCTGGGAAAGGTGGTTCATATCCTTAAGCCCAGCAATCTAGGCAAAGGCAAGCAGATCTCTGAATTTCAGAAAGTCTAGTTTACATAGTAAATGTCAGGACAGTCAGGGCTATGAGCCAGAGAGACCTTGTCTCAGAAGACTTTTAGACTCTGTGTGTGTGTGTGTACACATAAATACATGTATGTATATATGTATATGTGTGTGTATGTATATATTTTAAAAGAAAAGGAGATCCTTAGGCTTGGCAGCAAGTGTCTTTACTAGCTGAGCCATCTTGTTTGTTACATAATAGTGAATCTGTGAATTGTGCTTCAATTGATTCCTTCTGTAGTTAGCAGACAATTAGCTATTCACATATCTGTGTCTGGCCCCTTGTGTCTCACAGAATTACAAAACTGCCTTTGGGATTGTCTGGAGTGTTGTTTTACCCTGGTTCAAAGCTGTACCTCCCACTGAGTTGTTCTGATCTAGAGGCACAGAGAAAGGCTTGTTGGACAATGCCTTCTGCTCTTACACCAGAGCCTCTTGAGCTAGATTGAGGGAACAGTTTGACTTGCCAGGGCTTCTGACAGGCTCAGGCACTTTGCTGGTTGATATCTAGTGGTACCTAGCTGGCTCGTTTGAATATTTAAAGCAAGTTTTGGGGCTTTCCATCAACCTGATGGGTGAGAATAGGCTTTGGTTTGAATCTCTCCCACCCAAGGCTCATGCCTGTGTTTACCTATACACGGAACACACTAGCTAACATCCATTTTCCTAAGAAAACCAGCACATGACCCTTGCCCTATTCTTTGCCTTTTTCCTTCTCCACTTCTGGAGCTCTTCATAGGAACTGGATTAGTCTGCATTAAATCTTGAAGATGGGGGCTGGAGAGATGGCTCAGCGGTTAAGAGAACTGACTCATCTTCCAGAAGACCTGAGTTCAATTCCCAGCAACCACATGGTGACTCACAGCCATCTGTAATGAGATCCAATGCCCTCTTCCGGTGTGTCTGAAGACAGCTACAGTGTACTCATATACAGAAAATAAATAAAATATATCTTTTAAAAAAAAATTGCAGCTGGAGAGATATCTCAGAGGTTAAGAGCACTGGCTGCTCTTCCAGAGGTCCTGAGTTCAATTCCCAGCAACCACAGGGTGGCTCACAACCAATCTATAATGAGATCTGTTGCCCTCTTCTGGCCTTCAGGCATACATGCAGGCAGAACACTATACATAATACATAAAAATCTAAAAATATTTAGAAACAAACAAACAAACAAAAAACCCTTTCAGGTGTTTCTTTCCAATTTACCACGTTGACATTGCCTCTACTTCTATGGAATCTTGGACATTTAGAAAGGGTTTCCCATGCCCAGATCATGAAGCTTATTGATCCCTTTTGAGTTTACCCAACAGTGCACCAAGGACCCTCAGCAAAGCCTATATTGCTCTGGATGGAAATGCTGTATTATTTAAACTCCTTTCATGGTGTGGGTATGTAGATGACCTTCTAGCCTCTTCCACATTTGGTTTCCTTTTGTAATAGTGTTACACTGTGTTAGTCTTTGGAATGCAGCTTAGAACAGACAACACCAGACCAAACGTTTCGGGGGGCGGGGGTGGTGGTGGTGGTGGTGGTGGTGGTGGTGGTGGTGGTATTCAGGGCAGAGGGCAAAGGTTGGGGAAGACAAACAGAAGAAGATGGCGAAAAAAGAGGAGAAGTAGAGGCCGGCCATGACCACGTAGAGAGAGGGGGAAGGAAAGGGGAGAAGGGCGAGGGGACAGAGAGAAGCCAGAGGCAAGAGAGTAAGAGAGTAAGAGAGAAAGGAGGAGGCAAGCCGCCCCTTTTATCGTGGGCAGGCCTACCTGGCTATTGCCAGGTAACTGTGGGGAGGAGCATACCTGGGTGTTGCCAGATAGCTGTGGAGGAGGAGTTTAGACAGAATACTAACACGCTGTTAGGTATAGATGGACATTTGTACAAAAGAGAGAGTGAGAGTGAGAGTGAGAGTGTGAGTGTGAGTGTGAGTGTGTGTGTGTGTGTGTTATACATGTCTATATGTGTGATGTGTGTATGTGGGAGCCCAAGGAGGCCAAAACAGGCTCTGGGATCCACTGTAGCTAGAGCTTCAGGTGGTCGGAAGCTGCCATATGGGTGCTGGGAACCAAATCATGCCTGGTCCTCTGTAAGAACAGAAAAAACTCTTAAACACCAAGTCATCTCTCCAGGCCCATTTGTTTATTTGTTTGTTGAAACAGGATTTCTCTGTGTACCCTGGCTTTCCTGGAATTCAATTTCTAAACCAGACTGCCTGCTTCTTCCTACCGAGTGCTGGAATTAAAGACATGTGCTATCACAGGTGCTCTCCAGCCTCTTTTAGTATTACTTAAAGCATCAGTAATTTTGTTCGTTCGTTCGTTCGTTCGTTCGTTTTTGTTTGTGGTACTAGGGACTAAACTCAGGACCTCGTGCATGCTGGGGAAGCACTCTACTGCTGAGCTACAAGGTCATCCCCCTTTTAGAGTATTCTTAACCCCATACCTTTGCCATTGCTAATGGTTTCCAGGGCTCTCTTGATTCTTCCCATGTATGTTTTTATTTTTCATGTGGACCTGTGTCCTGGAGGAGGAGAGAGCCCTAAGCTCTGGAGATTTCACTACCTTTCACTGTTGTCTGACTACTGTCTCCCTAAGAAATATTGACGTCTCCAATTTAGTTTTATGTTCTGTTCCCTGATGAATGAATTCTTGTGGTGTTTTCTTGGTTCCTTGGCTTGGACTCACCAGAGCTGTGGTCTGTAGTGGAGACAGCCTGTTTCTTTCTTTCTGGCTAGTGTGTGTGCAGCCACCCTGGTAGGCCTCCCACAGGATCTTAAATGGGATGTGTGGTCACCTAGTTTCATTTCTGTGTCTTGAATGCCAAACTGTGTACCACTATAGCACTGGCTCTTTCTGTTTGTCCCTCCAGGTGAGGGGATCCTCCTTCTGTGTGGGGAGATGGTGATGAGATTTTTCCCCTTGGAGACTTTTGAAGTGTGCCCACGTGGAGCCTGGGGTTCAGGGAGCAGTTAACACTTTTCCTACTGAATGAATCTTCAGAGGTTTCTTGTATTTTCTGGAGTTTTCTAAGTCATGGATATCAATTTTTTCACTTAGGGTTCTGAATGCTTGAGCCTGAACAACAGCAGTCGCTATCATATTCTCTGTGTGCTCAGGGAAAAAAAAAAAAGACCATCGTCTCTGTCTTCAGAGCTGGATTTGCTGTGGAGCTCCAGGACCATTGCAGGTGACCCTGCACTCCTGCCTGGGCTCTTCCTGAACCTGCCATTGGTTGGTTGGAGGACTCAGCACTTTCTGATCTCAGGGGCTTGTCTCAGTAGCAGCTGCCTTGCCTTTCCATGCACCTCTGAGGCTCTGTGGTGTGAAGAGTGAATACAGTCAGCTATTCTTGACTCACTTAAGTCTGTCTTGTGCAACAGAAGATCATGATCCTTAATTTTTAAAAAAAACAAAATTCATAATTCAAAATTATGCACAATAAAATGAGTCCATTTCACGAGTACCATTTCAGGAGTCCATTCAGGTGTGGCTGTGCTTAGACAAGCCAAGGCCCTTTGGTGACATTCACCACAATCAGTAAGTATTTGCATGACTCTGGAAGAAATCTATCTCCTTCCCAAGTGTCCTCCTGTATGCCAGCTAGCCAGGACCTCTGATGCTTTAAGTGAGCCCAGTCTTCTCAGCCTGCTAAGAGAGCTGAATCTCAGAAGAGGCACACAGTGTGCATTCATCAGCCTGGATTCTGCCACCTGACAGAGCAGGGTCCCCAGGCCCAGCAGATGTCACAGGTGGCAGGATCCTGCTCCTTTGTTGCCAAGTGGCAGTTGTCCCTTGAGTCCTGTTTTGTCTGATGTAAACTCTTCTGAGCAGGTCTTGGTTTAGAACAACAGTCTCATTCTGTGGGAAAAGGTATATGAGAAAAAAACTGTGGGTTTGAAGCAGCATGGGAAGTTTCTGTTTAACTTGTTTTTTGTTTTTTGTTTTTTTAAAGATTTATTTATTTATTTTATGTATGAGTGCACTATTGCTCTCTGAAGAGGGCATCGGATCCCATTGCAGATGGTCGTTAGCCACCATATGGAAGAGCAGTCAGTGCTCTTAACTGCTGAGCCATCTCTCCTCAGCCCTCTGTTTAACTCTTGAAGAAGCTATTGGTGCTGAGCTTCTAATCTTAGCACTTAGGAGGTAGTGGCAGGCAGATCTTTGTGAGTTCAAAGCCAGCCTGTCTCAAAAATAAATGAAGAAGAAGAAGAAGAAGAAGAAG